CTATTTGTTTTATTTCTTGCAAGAAACTGTATAAAACAGCATTGCTGTATATGTTTTTTCATTACAAATTTACGTAACGTGACTTAGATCAAAAATGAAAAAGTTTTTAAGTATAGAACATTCATCATCACGGGTCATTCAAGTTGTAATAGCCGAGATAAAAGATTAAGAATTTAGTTACATTGCGTTTTAAATCAAGTACGTAGGCCCAAGAAATTCGAAATGTGTCATCATCTTGATGTGGTTATGAAAGATTAAAATTGTGCTTTTGTTGAGTATTCCGTATGAAATAAGAAACGTTTGGGAATTATTATCTTGTAAAGATAGAAAATGAGACTTTCTGTACTAGTTCAAACTTTATTTCTAGTCATGATTAGACTTACATTACACTACTTATAATACTAGCTATAGCGAGTAATAGAATTACTGTAATGTATTATTATGTAATATAAATATGAAATGTTTTATTATTATTGCAACTAATAAGATATAAGTAGGTATAATATGTTTACGAACACGTTTATATTAACCCCGAAATTCATTTTAAAAAATAAACAAAAACATCAAATAATTGACAATTTAAGAGGCTATATCTTTATTTAAATCCAAGGTATTAATGAATCTGTATCTATTTTTATTAAAAAGGTGGTTTACTAAGACACTAGTTGATCATTACTGACATCGAGTGTATATCTGCAGAATGTTTCCCGAAAAAATATTTAGGTATATCTAAAACATTGATTAGAAATCCTTTTATTCATTTTCTGTAGAAATTTGCCTGCCTTTTAGAAATTTGGTAATGGTTTTAACGAATTAAAGAAGCGCGGTTTGTTTCGTATCTCTTTTGGTAATGTCACCTCACTAGTGTTTCGGTCTGTGCTCAGTGACCGGAAAAATCCCTATTGTAGTGTTAATTGCCGATCGATTTGATCAGTTTATGTGGTGAACTATGACTCTGACCGATGTTTTGGGATAGGTTGCTTTCATATGGAATAATTTATAGGTCTGGTTCGTTATCTCTTTGTGCTCGTAACAAACCGTCGAATTAGGTATTGTGCTTTTATTGTTGTCAGGGCATTATGATGTTTGATGCAAGGTGCGGCAGATGAAAGCTCTGGGACTGACACAAATGTGATGTTTCATAATCACTCTAACATAACTAACATTGGAGGAGTGGTCAAAGGTCGGTTCCTTTTAGAATCGAAACCATTTTGGGAACTGCATGTGATTTTGAGAATTGAGGCTTATTGTGCTTAGAACGTCTATTATACAGTAATTTAGTACGTAATACGATTCCCAATTATATATAAACATACCTTTTAGGATCTTATATTTATGTGTTCTTACCTATAATTGTTAATAATAACTCAAACTTTATAATAATAATAATAAATATTTCCAATACTCACATCAATTAGGCTAGCCCCAAAGTAAGCACCGTAGGCTTGTGTTACTCATTATTTATTCAGTGAAAATATCACATAAATAGTGCCTTTAATTTTTATATTTTACTAATCATATCTTTATCTAATCTAAATATATACCTTAAATTAATATAAATCAGACTGATAATATATACTACATAACACAAGCAATTTACGCACAAAGTAAAAAAAATCAACTTCATTGTTGGCTTACCCAAATTGCATCATTTACACATTGCGTGTGAAACGATGAATGAAATAATCGGTAGGTTGTGGTACCCATTTAGATGTTCTCCCCCTAAATTGACAAGCCTTTTTGTTAGCATCCTCTAACTGCGGCCATTTTATTCAAATAACCACCTAATCTAATACGATGGAACGCTCAGATTTCGTTTGGATAAAAATTTGCCTGAAAGCCGAAGATTATCTCAAGTACATACCTAACTGTTGTATCATTAAAATATTTTATTTGGTGTAATGGTATTGCGAGACCGGTATTGATGATTGCAGTTCCAAAACATAAGTTGTTAATCTGTGTATACAACTTTATATGAATTCTTCTCGTATTGTATACGAAGGGCTTCTTTAAACAATTTTTAACCGATAAAAGTTTATGTAAAATGAAATGAATTTCATATTGAGTTGTTTGTTGTCAACCCAAATAGTAAATAGCAACTTACATAAATCTTTTCGATAGGTATAGCAATTCCTAATATTGTAAATTTTTCTATAAAAATAATGTTACATCTCGATTTTATATAGTTTTTGTAGTATTGTGTGCCACAGGTCAAGTTGCCCAAAACTGACAAATGTCTCCAAATGAATTAGATCTTTAGAGGATTGGCTATAAGATTCACAATCTAATAACAAAATTGGATAGTTTGCGGTAACTTGGTGTGTGGCTGTCTCTACTTGCAGTTTAAAGAGATGCTGGAACCAAGGGCTTCATTAATTGCTGTCATCACGCACTCACTCCACAGTATTGAACTAAAGGGGCTGACAAAGAATTTCGACACAAGTTTTTATATTACGGCTCACATAAAGAAGTTCAGTCTAGATCGTTTGAAAAATGACAGAAAATAACCTATATGTACACATGTTTAATCACTGTCAGAGATAGATTCGAGTGTGACGGTCATCCATCAGACTATCTGATGAATTGAGATTCCATTCAAAGCTTTCATTTTGTCTATTCCAATCCTTACTATATATCAAATAAAGATGATATTTGACAAGTCAATACTCTACGCTTCATGTAAAATTTACACATTTCCCCGATTACGGACTGTATTGCGTCAGTAAACTATTTTTACAGCATTGCCTCTAAAAGTTTATTGATATTTCTAAATATCTTTAGTCAATAAATATGTTTAGGTAATTTCAATTCAATCATTTATTATTTCAATATTTTTAAGGTTTATTTTCATTTATTATGGGATAATCTTCTCTTATTACTAATGGTGTTGAATGTTGATTGTACGTACACATCAACATCAACAATGGCATCCTATCAAGATAGTATGACATTGTATTAAATCATTTTACACCGCTAATATTTATTTATGAAAAATTTAAAAACTCTATGAAAAGATTGAACTAAATAAAGTCCATAAGTAGATTCGACAAAATGGGAAATGAGTACTCATTCAGACCCACAGTCAGAACAAAATTTCAATATCTTGGTTTTGACTCTTTTTTCAATACATCATTACACTACGTTATTAAATTAACTTAGCAATCTGGTTCCATCAAGAATAAACAATATACACACATCAAAAGTGTCTAGGGATCAAGCATTTTTATGCGGATTTCTTGAGATTGAGATGTGGCTTTGTAATAAATTTATGATTTTATAAATTTATATGGATCCTTTTTGGTGCATTTCATAATTTGAATCAGGAACTGTGAATCAAATTCGAGTAAAAGATGAAAATCAGCTGTCAATATTTTCCCTATAAAAACATACAACGCATTGAAGACATTATTAGTGCTACTGTTTCCCTACCTACTACTGATTAAAACCAACGTTATTATGGAGCGGCGACGTCATTTAAGCAGGGAAGAAATGCTCAGAGCCGTGGGAATGATAGAAGCTGGTTCCCGGCAACGTACTGTGGCTTTAGCTCTGAATACAAGTCAGAGTGTTATCAGTCGACTTTGGACACGATACCGAAGCACTGGTACCGTGGCTGAGCGCCATGGAGGACGGTATCGCTGCACCACACGGAGACAAGACCGATACATTCAAATCTTAACTCGAAGAGCTCCAACAATAACCGCCATGATGTTAGCCGTGAGGCTTCATCACTCTTCAGGGAACTTAATTAGCGACCAAACAGTCAGAAACCGCTTGCATGAAGTGAACCTTCATTCCCGAAGACCGCTACGGGTACCACCTATAGCAATGCACAATCGTAGGATTCGATATCAATGGGCTCTTGAACACAGAAATTGGGCAGAAGAACAATGGCGTTTCGTGTGCTTTTCTGATGAGTCTCGTTTTGGTATGAGACCGGATACAAGACGTATACGACACTGGAGAACCCCTGGACGCCAACAGCGATTAAAATCCTGCCAGGAAGTCCATCCTTATAGTGGTGGAACCATCATGGTATGGGCGGGTATTTGGATCGGCGGAAGAACTGAGTTGATTTGGATCAGAGATCAACCTCAACGCTCAAATTTATGCTGAGACGATTGTATCAGACGTCATCGTTCCTCTACAAGTGCAAATCGGTCCCTTATTTCAGTTAATGCATGATAATGCACGACCGCACACCGCAAGAGTTGTAAGACAGACTCTCGCCGCAGCTAACATCAATGTCCTGCCCTGGCCTGCTCAGTCGCCAGACTTGAACCCGATTGAGCATGCATGGGATATGCTACAGAGAAGAGCTCTGCCGAATATGGAGGGTATCCAGTCGCAAGAAGACCTTTTTTTTGTTGTTGCAACGAACATGGGCGGCCATTCCACAGCGTGATTTGGATGAACTCATTTTGAGTATGCCAAACCGATGTTCTTGTGTTGTTAGTGTTCGCGGTAGAAATACGGATTATTAATTGTTTAAGTTACCCAATAAAATTTTAGAGAAAACTGTTATTTCAGTCTTTTTTTCGAACTTTTGTGTTAGTGGTTCAAATGTCAAAAATCCCTTTATTAGGAAAATGGCAAATTTCTTTATTAATGCAAAGGTGACTTGGTTTATCGTTACTGTGACAAACGAAAACACTTTATTTGATGAATCCTTAAAGAAAATTTTAATTAATATCAATCAGGAGAAAAGTTATTGCAAAAATATATGTTGATCCCTAGACACTTTTGATGTGTGTATATGTATTGCTTCCCGTTAGTCGATACTCATTCTGTCAAGAAATAAGTATTCAAGAGGTGCCAAGAAAACTACCAACAGTTGGTAACTGATTTAATTTTAAACGTTACACAATTAATTTTGGGAAGCAACTAATGAAGTCCTCAAAGTTGTCACAACGTTACGATGGTCCGGTCCAAGACGTCAATCTCCCCGAATAGAATGGGCCAAAATCTGACGCGTGTCGGATTGTCGCAGGTTACACAGAATGCGTCTAATTAGAAGCACCGAAGCCACATTCAATTTCACGGCCTTCCTTCGGTCTCCTCTTTCGTTTCCCGCTCCAGTGAGCACTACTCCACTTTGATCTATACTAGTGTCTTGGACACATCCGAAGACAAATGAAGCCCTTCATGTATCGGTGTGAGTGACACACTTGGGTCGTTTTTCCGCTGAAACCGACGAACCGGAATAAATAATTGCCGACGAGGACACAATGGCACTGTGTAGGAAGATGATACGGTATAAATAGCTCTTTAGCATGACAATGTCACGAATCGTGATGAGGACGTAATCTGACTCAATGGATGCATAACTCTGAATAACGAGATCACTCCAAATATATTTCCTCGTACCAAATCTCGGCGTAGAAAAATATTTTGTGTAACATAAATTACGATGGCTAATTTACCCGATTTGAATTCCTATCGTGGCAGCTGTCAAATTTGCTATGTTCAATAAAAGGGCATACTTCACTGGAATACTAATTAACGAGCTTAATTCGCTTGGCTATTTCTATATTAGCTACTATATTAGTTGATAAGTTTCTGTAGGTTTAATGTGATGACCTGTATATTGATCAACGCCCCATCGCCCGCAACACATTTCGAAAATTACTACTTACCGCTTCCTATAAAACTAGATTAACCCGGACAAGTTAAAATTATGATGACATCTTGAAAATTGGTCTGAAAACCACTGGTTTTCTCTAATAGTAAATAGCAGGATTGCTACAATGTACCAGTTATTCCGTGATCATGACACTGGCATCAATGCCGAAATATCGGGAACTCGCTATAAATAAGATTCATTGTAACAATCCCTCTATTTACTATAATGTACTCGTGACCATAAAAATAACATATGTTTTCTCTTTGCCCCCAGGTTTGTGGAGTGTGCCAATTGGTGTCCATGTTCGGTTCACGTTCGCGCCGATAACAGTGCCAGTGTGGGTTGTGTGGATGTGGAACTCTAGTTGATCGCGCTGGCGTGGTACGGGGCGGGCGGGGGCGCGATGCAGGCGGGCGGGGGCTGGTTCGTGCCCTGGACTATGGGGGTGCAGAAGTTCGCTGTGGCTTTGCCGATGGGTGGAGTGGTTCCGTTAGTGCCCCCGCTGCTAGCTGCACTGCCGCCAGCGCCGCCGCCGCTAAGGCTGATCGCCCCGCCGCCGCTGCAGCATCAGGCGCAGCCGGGACGGAAGGTACGTTTGCATCTGTGAAACTGGTTAAACGAAAATCTTTCAATCGTATCGCGACGAACGGTACGTTTGAATCCGTGAAAGTGGTATGGTTGTCGTCGAAAACAGCACATGAGTGTATTGCGTGTCACTGCTCAAATATGCTCAGGTTACGGCTAGTTGTATTTCATTGCTTATTACTTTTATTTATATATTTGAGAACAATGTTTTTATTCTTTGACTTAAATATACTGTATTAATCTATAACTGGCATAAGCAATAACTATCACGTGGATCATGAGTGCTCCTTAAGACAAAGGGAGAATATAACATATTCATGTGATTTTACAAAAAAGAATGTTTAGATTGTAATGGTTTTGAAACATAGATATAGCTACTATCTGTTTGGGTTAGGGAGTTCCTTCTTACCAAAATGTGTTCAGTTGATTGATGATGCACACATAATATTGTTCAATAAGTTTATCGAAACCATCATGATTTTTTCCATACAGAATATCGATAAATTTCAAATTACGGCACACAGTCTAATTATACTCCATTTAATTTCGAGGGCTCTTAATAGATTCGATTTATTCAATGTATAAAACCAGTTCAGGTAATTGAAACGGGATATTCGGTTGATTGATCCACTGGGATAGTGGTTTAAAAGTGACTTTTACCTTTGTCGGATTGAAATGTATTGATATGAATATTTAATTTCCTTGTTACTGAGGTCTACATTCAAATTATACATTTTAAATAATAATTGAATGTGCATACTCAATGACGTTGCCTCAGTCAATATAAGACTACCAAAGGTCTGTGGTATGCATTATTATATATCTTTATTTTTTTATAGAATTTGAACTTTGTAAAAAGAAATACAAGATTTACACAGAATAAAAAGGCAAGGTCGCAAAGCAATATAAACAATACATATGTTATTAACATTCTTGCTTGAATTTCATTTCTATTCTTTACTAAAATTCTCGACTTGAGAATCGAAACTAGGTATAACCTAGCACTGTGATATATAGTGGAGTGAAATGGAAATGGAAAGGCTGACAAGGGTACGGATATCTATTACGGAGGACAATTTGCTTCTAAAAGTTGACCTCTCCGAAGCTACTAGAATTCTTAGAGTTGAAAAACTTTTTTGAGAAAATAATCATGTTTTTTTGTAATGACTTAATGACTGAAGTATTAAGTATGTCAGTGAAGTAATGCGCCCTCTAAGGAAACATTGATATCTCGCCCATAAGTTAAAAGGGACCTTTAGCCTGATCTCTAGATCCAAATTGAATATTATCAATCGATTTAATTACTAAATCAGCTTAAAAAATAATTATTTACAAATTAAGGAAAATCATATTAAAAAGGCTTGTTGGCTTGTAGTAAATGTAGTTGTCCAATAAGTGACAAAAAATTAGGTATCCAATTGAAAGTGCAAATGAAAAACTTATGATGTTCACTGCTGTTGGCTTAATAAGACAATTTACGACATCTTTATAAGGTAAAAGCCTCTAAATAAAGAAGATTATAAAAAAAAAAGTCATTGAATTGTTTTTCGTATTTTACTAAAAAGAAATGATATAAGAATCGGTAATGCTATCTTGTACCCGAATTTCATCATCAAAATTGCTTAATTGATGTTTAATAAAGGGGCAGTAAGCACGGAGTTGCATGTCATCTAGTTACGATTAAAAAGCTAGATGAAGATGTCGTAACAGTAAAGTCATTATTGCAGTAATTTCTTCCAAGCGACTTTGGAGCTGATGTATTAATACATTACTTTTACGGCGAAATATGATGTCCGCATCAAAATGTCGTGAAACAAATAAAGTTCGAACTTGAAAAAGATGTGTATGTCAACATCAACTCAGAAAATGTAAAGAGTATCGTTAAGAACCGGTAAAAGTGACAGTTGAAAACAGCTGTTTCTGTTTTATATGACATTTTTATAGAACAAGGTAACGTGATGACCTTGACATTTGTGGCGGTGAGCACTAACGAGCAGACTGCACAAGATGGTGCATTTGCAATATTTCTTTCAAGGCACATCATTTATTTTTTCAACGATGATGATATTTTAAAACCGACTACTATATAAATCAATATCTAGGGTAGCACAAACAACTTTTTTATGAATACGTAATTATTCTAAATTGAAGTGTAAGTTATACCCATAATCGTTTGATAGCCTTACTTCTTCATCCAGATAGTCGTTTAATGATTAGAGCCTATCAGATCTCTTGTCACCACATTTGCTAAATAACATCTTGGCCTTGAAATATAAACAAAAATAATAATAGATTTTAAGATTCCGATTACTAATTGAAAACTTAAAGGTGATTGTCTAGTTACACGAATCGGAAATTATGTTGGCGATAACTAAACAACTGTCGCTGGTGACGTAAAACAAAAGTGTCTTATTTACTTATACTAAATTTTGTTAAAATATACAAAATAAAGTTCGTAAGCTGCCTGTTTGTTATACGATATTTAATCTCAGGGCGACTCTAAATTAAAGTTCTTACGTGACATGTAACTGAATAGTAATTTGGAAGAGCTTCCAAAGTTTTAAGAGCATTTTAGGAATCCTAATAGTTTTTCCTAAATAAATTCTAGGCACGTTTATTGTTTTTTTTTTCTTCTTTCACTGTACCCGAATAAAAAGTTTCACATCATAATTCAATCTTTAGCTAGTCCCTTTATTCTATAAGATTACAATCTGTAATTCAATTCGTGTGATCGCCAATTCTGCTCACGGCTGCAAGCTTTCTGTCATCTTTGCAGGCCTAGACATTAATTTTCATCTAGGAGGAAATATGTGAGAGATGTTGCTCGAAATCTAATGAGATCCGTCTCATATAATTAGTTGTACGGAGCAAGTTAATATTATTAATGCTCGTGTCAACGACAGCTGTGTCTCTCCGCATAGCACCTTATAATGATAATTCGGAACTCATATTAATTAGACCGACGAACAGATTCAAAGCAAGATGAATAAATAATTCATAATGTACAAAAAAAACTTAATAAACAGACTTTTAATTTTTTTGAAAATAACAGCGGTTAATTATTGAGGGTTTTACAGATGTGTGATGTTAGTTTGTTTTTGTAAGGTATTCCGTATTGCCGTTTTATTCTTTTCCGATTCTCACGTGGTTATTTTAGATATCTACCTTTGGTTCTAAGTGTTAAGTTACTTGATGGTGTGGGAATACTTCTAACGAGTTTGCGTCTTTTATCGGCTTCCAAGATCAGCAGCGGCTTGCAATATTACGCTTCTTTTTATTTTGTTCGGATAATGTTTCGTATTTCAACAGTTTCTTAGGCACTCTGAAGCTTTCATCATCAGGGCATGTTATTCATTTTGGGAATCGAATCAGTTACGACTCGATCGCATTTATTATCATTAATTTCAAGTTGATTTCCATAAAATACTTAGTTGAGGAGTCTTTATATGTTTTGAAATCTCTTTTTTTATAATTTTGTGCGATTTATAAATTTTAAACTTACTGCCAACTTCTCACGACTGAATAGATAATGTCGTCTTTTTACACCGACACTAGAGATAACAATATATTCTCGTTTCCTTTAAAGAACCTTTGTAAAGCCAAGAGTGGTTCAACTAGAACTTGAACTAGTAAATCTTATACCAGGACTGGACTAAGGTACGTCCGGCGTATGCATAAATGAACGTATCCATTTGAAGATACACTTATCTTACGATTGCTCACTTATAGGCTTTAAAGTAAAATAATTAAGATTAGATAATATTTCTTAGATTGAGACTACATATTGTTTATTTATTAAATGTTATTTTATGTTATAATGCTGTATGTCTATGGTATGTATTTATATGGAAACCGTGACTCCGTGATTATATCGTTTATTACTTAGATGAATAGTGATATTATTCTTATAAAATATTATAAATAAAGTGACGTTAGCAAAGTTTAGTTCCTAGAGTGTACTTATCCCAATACCTACGAAATAATCTTTAATGATTCATTTGTTTCTTAATACAAACTAAATAACCTTTTTTTTAATGAAAGAATTCGATAAAATAATATTCATTCATTAAAAGCTATCGATCTACGAAATTTGTACAATCGTTTCAGTCATTAAAAGAAAATAGAAAAAATGTCCTTAATGAGTATCTGACCCCACTGAGACTGCAAATAGCTTTGATATTCAGTTACTAGCGCATTTTAATAGTAATAAATTGGAGGTAATAAAATATTATCTGTCTATCGTAATAACGTGATTAAAACTGGTTCTATTGAAGGGTTCAATGTAGTAATGGCTGCCATCGGTGGGCAAGGTTGGCTTAATGACTGACTGCTGTCTTGGAAGCATTAACTTATGCAGAACTATATTTCAGATATTGGAGATAGTTTCAAATGTTTAGTACCTTGTAGAGTCTGTGCGGAAAGAGAATGGGATTCAGATTGGAGGGCGGTGTAGTGCTTTTCTACCGTATTTGTAAGGTTTTATCCCTTTTAGACATGATTAAATACAAAAAACCGCAATAAATCACAACAACAAACAAATCCATATCAATACAAAACTTTGACTTTTTACAGATTGCTGGGTTTGATTGCCAAATAAAAATGTTAATGTTAGTTCCGTTTTTCGCCACCCCCATTCTCTTTCCGCATAGACTCTAAAGGTATTTCGTTTGACATTGTGGATTACCTACAATACGAAGAGATGGCGCTGCCTTGCAGTCAAGGAAGATCAAAAGTAGTTACATAAAATTGTTCTCTTTTATTTCATAATTTTGTTCTTTTTCAGTTTCATATTATAGATACTGTAGACAGGTGTATGGTTATTTTCTTTAAAAATGAAATTTTATTGTGTTCCTCCCTTGGTCTGTGTAAATGGATGATTTCTGCCAACGTCAAAAAACCCCTGTCTGTGGAAGTGGTGGATTTCTGCTATGCAATATTATAATACTACGAGTATATTTAGATATCATCATGTCAGCCGTACAATGCCCACAGCTGAGCATAGGC